AACACAGCAGGACTTATGGTTTTTTGCTATTTTATAACATGAAACCATAGTTTACCACACATTACCATATGGTAACGAAGCAAAACACAGCAGGACTTATGGTTTTTTTTGCTATTTTACAACATGAAACCATAGTTTACCACACATTACCATATGGTAACGAAGCAAAACACAGCAGGACTTACGGTTTTTTGCTATTTTACAACATGAAACCATAGTTTACCACACATTACCATGTGGTAACGAAGCAAAACACAGCAGGACTTATGGTTTTTTGCTATTTTACAACATGAAACCATAGTTTACCACACATTACCATATGGTAACAAACTAAAACACAGCAGGACTTATGGTTTTTTGCTATTTTACAACATGCAATCATAACTTACCACACATTACCATATGGTAACGAACAAAACACAACAGGACTTATGGTTTTTTGTTATTTTAGAACATGCAATCTTAATTTACCAGTCATTACCATATGGTAATGAAGCAAAACACAACAGATTCTACATCAGTTCAGCAACTCATGGAGAGTGACTGCGATACTGTTCTATTGTTCTGTGGATGGATTTCGAAGAAAGAAGTGAGGTTTTACCTTGATATTTTGTGCGAAAATGATTTTTGAGCCTCGTTCTCTTCGTTTTTCGACGAAGAAGCGAGAACAGTGTATCGTTGAATGATTCTTCGAAATCCTTTGCGAAAATCGTTCGATTTGAAGTTTTTTCTGTAAGTTTTTGCTGCGATTTTGGTGAGAGAATTGAGAATCGGGAGGAAGAATGGAGAGTTAGAGAGCAGAGAGGGAAGTGGAACTGTCGCTTGAAAGGTGAGAGGAAGAAGGAGAGAAGGCGGGACGGTTGTCGCTGTCACGTCTGTAATTCAAATTGTCAGAGACGTGATTACGTTTTTGCCCCCGCGTGTATTTTAACTGACATGATCTGACGGCTGGGAAGAAGGCGCGATGGACGGCCGGATCATCGGTTACTGACCGTTACTGATAGGTCGGTTACTGATAGGATCCGGACCCGCGCTTTACTTAGTCGGAAAGGCAAAAGCTCTTTAAATGAGTCTGGAATGGGTCTGCTCCGTCATGACCGAAAAGAATGAAAGATCCCTTATCCGAATGGTAAAGTGCATTTGCTTACATGTAATGTGTGTATACGTAGTAGTATGGAATAATTAGTACTGTCTGAAATATGAAATATGAAATATGATGGGCCACAGGAGAAGAAGTTACAAATGCTTTCTGTATATATGGCTCATGGAGATCTGTATATATGGCTCATGGAGATCAAGCATCCAAATAACTTTGGCAAGCAAAAATTTGATCATCGACAGTTGGAGTTATACCAAAATTGGAAGACATGGCAGAAGAAGAATCTCAGTAGATAAATCAAAGTGATGAATCTAAATAATTATTTGTCACTAACTGACGCGCGTTAATTTATGCGTCGGGAACTTGAAACTACTAAAACTAAAAGAATTCAAATTCTATTTTTTCAATATATTTTGACAAAAGAAAATTCATACCACTCGTTATCATCTTTGTTTTTAACTCAAATTCTACAAAATTTTGCACAGATGGAATGAAATCTCTTGATCTATTGGATCTACAAATTTATGGGGGGGGGGGGGGGGAAATACAAGACTATCATGTATTTCAACCATCATACAGTGTGTTATGTTCATACCACCATGGTATACTTCCGTACCATGTGGTATGATCTTATGTAGTACCAAGCAGTACCACCTTGGTATAGATGGGTACTAAATGTCTCAATTTTTTGTTCCAAAAATATATCAAAGTGGATATCCTTTTGAAGAGTACAATTTATCTATGCAAAAAAAAAAATTATAACTTAAAACGAAAGAGATATATGCCTTTAAAATTTATAAGAGAAATGGTTAGGGGCCTTCCATGGGTTTCTGACCACAAAGTTATACCACTGATCCCCTCTCTATAGTTCCTATCAATTTCTTTTATCTAATGTTATAATGTATACTCATATGTTGAGAAAATATTAAAAAGCAGTAGGATGGGAACTATTAGTTCCCTTCTTTAGGTTCAGTCTCGAAAATTTATTGCAAAATGTTATTTTCAACTCCTTCTCACTCTAAGATCTGGTTTTGCCACTACTGACCTCACATCTCTCTTGTCTCATCTTCATTTTACTTTTTCTTACAAGAGGAGTATGTAGTAATATTGCATTAAGAAATCCTAGCTTGTTCTTGTCGTCAAGAATGAGGATTATCGATCTCTCCCAATTAAAGAAATTGGACTCTATAAGAGGTTGCAAGACCAACACTGTCCCCAATTTTCACTGGGATGGATGAAAAACGGACTTGATGGATCTGTCACAAAAACTCCATTGTAGCTTAGCAAAGTTGTGTTGCCTGAAGGTCCTCTAGTGTGAGGAATCCTTCAATCGACATCGTTGCCAGAGTAAGAATTAGTGAAAGTGCCCATAGGATAATGAACTAGGATTTCACAGAAAGAGGGGGAAACGGATTTCAGAAGCGAGAGAGGACGCATCGAGCTCGGTAGGGCTCTGATATCACATTAGATTTCTGAAGTATTCTTTATTGATGATCAATTTCAATTGAAAATGTGACCTGCTAGAGCATCTCCATTGGAATTGCATTTAGAATTGCATTATGACATGGCATTCATTTGCAATTGCATTATGCAATTATATTGATGTAGATGACAATTGCATCTTTGTAAGCTTGCATATAATGCAATTATGGAATGCAAGCCATAAGATCTTTTTTATTATTAAATTATTCATTAATTTTATTATTTGAGTATTTATGTTTTAATAAATTAAATTAAAAAAATTAGTTGCAATTACAAGTTAATTGCATTGATGTGGTGCAATGCAAGTAAGATGAGTTTGATTGCAAAAAAATGAAGTAACAATAAAAAAACAAATGCAATTGCAAATACAATTGCACCAATGGAGATGCTCTAAATCTAGTATAAAATCATTTATACAGAGTTTGCTAGAGAAGAGAGAGAATAGGAGCGGGAAAAGTAATTGAGTTTGTTACTCAACGGATACAAAGGAAACTTACATAGTGCTACCTAAATGTATACAATCATCACTAACATAGTGCTACCTAAATGTATACATAGTGCTACCTAAATGTATCCTATTCTAATTTTCATTCTAATACCTAATCTATAAAAATTACATCTTTATGTTGCTGCGACACTTAAATACTCCATCCGCTTCTTTTCTTCTCTTTACTTCCAGTCCATTGTGGTCAGGGGCGGACCTAGAAAGAGTAGGGTGTGTTGCCCGGAAATTTGGGACACACCCTCGCCCGGAAATTTGGTGAATCACTTATATATTTTTTGTACAAATTTTTTTAATTTGGGATTTCCGACACACCTCAAATAATTGTGGGCACCTTCATTGTACGAGAATGATTTTCTTGTTATAAATTTATTTATCTTAATTAGTAAAAACAATAATAAGTAAAATTAAATAATTATGCTTGTTTTAAAGTAACCCACACCACAACCCAACAATGAAAAAAGTATGCATAACCTCATCCTTTGAAACTCACTATTTCCACTCATTGACCCTCCCTTTGTTGAAATAAAAAATAAAATAAAAAACTCATCCTTACCTCTTTTTAGTTTCTAATTACCGTGATCCATTGCCACACCCCCTTTTCTTTTATACTTTAGTTTACTTGCTCTCGAAAGTGTAAATGGAACGAATTCATGAGTTGGTTGATTTATAAAAGTCAATATAAAAATTAGCTACCAAATGTTGACTTTTGAAGTAGATTTTTCATTAAAAAAATCAAAATTTAGGTATTAAATTGTAAAATATAGAATATATAAGTATTACACTATATTTTAGAACAATTCATAAATTCATTGACTAATCCATTGGATTTGGATTTGAATGGACTGCATTAATTGAATTTCTAATTGATGGATTGGACTGGACTTAAATTGTCACTACTAATTATCTACCAGAAAGATATATTTGAATCTCTATGCTGTGGATCTTATAGCTTTCGTAATCTTCAAAACTAATCTCTAAACTGCTCAATTCGTTCTTGTCCATTCTTTCATTCTTGGCCAGTTCTTTTCTTCGCGGATAAATGTGATTTTTTTCTTCAAAATATGACCTTTTCTGTTTCGGTTGTGATCAAAATACAACACAACATATACATCTATTATCTATAATACATGCATTAATAGGAAATGTGTAGTTACTTAAATTTCTCAATTATGCCGAGCAAAAGCTAATAACACAGTTTAGCCCAATGAGGGAGCCAATACAGAAACTGTACAGAAGGGAATGACCATAGAAGACAATAAACTTTCACAGGCTTGCCAATTAGTGCTATGCGCCGCAGGCATGGTTCAAAAAGGCACGCTTAATCTTACGCCTAAGCACGCCTAGGTACAAGGTAATGACAAAACGCTTCTCCTTGGGGTTTCACGCCTAATTAGATACTGGAACACGTCAATGGAGTAAGGCGACATATAAGTCTCTCCTAAACACAACTTGATGAAGCTAGTAAGTCAATATTAAATGAGAAAATTAACATCAACTACGAAATCAATTTTCTATATCAATATTTTCAATAGCTCAAGAAATTTGTGAGCTGTTGAGTTATGATTCTATGAATTCTTGAGCTATGTTCTTGTCATTAAGTGTTGAGTAAGTTATTAATCATTTTAACTTAAGTGAGAAAGTATTGTAAATTATTATTTCATTCATCATGTAGTGTGAATAGCTTTTTTCTTCGAACGCCTAAGCACGCTTAATCTATGTCTAGGCGAACTAGCCGCTAGACAAAGACTCAACGCCCGCCTTACGCCTAGCGCCTTTTGGAACCTTGGCCGTAGAAGCTGCTAAACATATACCCTTACATACTATACAAATTATCTGATTCCCAAGAGTATCTATCGACTCTGTCTTATTGCTAAAGAAAAAGGAAGAAGAATTGAGATCAAAGCTCCAAGCTTCTCATCTAGAAACAACATGGCTTCTAAGGACCTGATCAAGGCAACCACCATCATCAAAGTTGAGAGCGTAGCTACGGATGTCATAGCTGAACTGTGAACTGCTGCTGTTGCTGCTCTTCTGCGGCCACCCGATTGTTCGCTTCCACTGCGCCCTCAGCTTGTAAACCCATCGCGTAGGGACATAAGACCTACTAATACTCCTGCGGCTACCGAACGAAACCTTTGTCTTCCTGTCAACAATGGACGCCATGGCAGCAACTGATGTGCTCCTAGGAATTGATCCCTTCCCCTGCCTCAACAACGGGATTCTTCTCATGCTTTGTGTATTCAGGAACTTCATGGCAAGCTGTGTTGCAATGTCAAGAATGTAATGAATGAAACACGAGAGACAAGAGGAAGAGTTGTGAAATGGAACTAGAGGTTTGAGCTTTCTCTGTATTAACTGCAAATTCAGTCACTGATACCAACAACTATGAAATGACGAGTCTTAAATAGATTTCAACATACCATTTACATGGGTTATTTTCAACTTTTGCTTTGCCCACTATGCACTAGCTCCTTTACAGTCAAATCAAATTGGCACAAAGTTTGGTGGATAAAGGGGATGCCTGAATTCGACCTTAGTGAGGTTGTGTGGTGTCAAAAGAGGTCAGTGATGACTACACTAGGGCCAAACAACATGTTACACAAAAGGGCAAAGTAATCAGTGTATATCTATTACTTATCCTCTTGTTTGATCTCCTTTGCGCTTTAGTTAAAGTCTGAAGTGCAAAAGTTCTTAAAATGAGACTGGATTGGGTCTGCTCATATACCGTCATGACCGAAAAGAAAGAAAGAACCCTTATCCGAATTATGTTAAAAGTGCAAATGCTTACCTGTAATGTGTGCAGTAGTAGGGAATTAGTACTACCTACTAGTAGGGATGGCTACTAGTAGGGGTGGTTATACGGTTTGGTCCAGTTAAATTGGACCAAATTGATCCGATCCCAATCCGATCTTTTCGGGAATATATATAAGGATAAAAAATTGGATTGGATACAATCCGGTCTTGATCCGGTCCGGTCCCAATTTGATCTTGATTTTAGGTGTTGGGGGTTTCTTATCCGGTTTTTTACCTCAAATCTAAGCCCGAATATGAGATTGGATTGTTTGCTATCCCGTCCCAGTCCGGTCTCGGTCCGGGTTATACGGTCCGGTTCCGGATAAAACCAAACAGTCCGGACCAAATAGCCAGCTCTACCTACTAGGTTCTGGCAGCAAACCAAATTACTATATCTGAAATATGAAGTCATGAATGGCCAAAGGAGGAGAAAATAAAAAAATGCATTCCATATGGCTCATGGAAATCTGGTCACCACCATGAAACTCATGCCCCATCTTTCTTATTTCTCTAATATTAATTCTTCTGCTCAATCTCTTCATCTCAATCAGGAGAGGAACGAGAGAAGTTGAAGAAAAGAACTAATCTTCTACTCTTTGACTACATTTATTGAATATGTCGAGTTTTGGAGGGAATGAGAAATACATAGTGTTTGTTACTGCACAAACTCTACACACTCAATAAGTGTGTTTATGTATATTCACAAGAGAGAAAGATATGTATTCTAGATAATAATATCGGTTTTTATTTAAAGAACATATGCATGACATTAGGTTGAGTCTTGACCTGGTCTTTCTTATTTCGAATTTCACTACATTGCTCTCTACCAACGAAATCACAACATCATGCATGAACTCTTTACTTGTTCAGTTACTGATAATTTGAGGTCATGCGAATAATCTAAATTGTATATCATCTTTCCTCTCCTTTTTCTTGATGAATATTACAACTCATCTTAAATTTTTTTAAGGTGCGGAGGAAGATAAATCGAATCAAGTGCACGAGTTAGTCTTTTGACAACTGTAACTTTAGTCGTTGAGCTTTTAAGCAAGATTATACATGTTCATAATGTACTCTTTACGTTTCATTTTGCATTTATAATGTATGAAAACAAATTATCCCAAAAGGATAACCTGCCTCCAATTAATCGCAAAAGTTATACGATTACTTCTATTAACCCCATTAAAATCTCAGTAAAAGAGTCAGAAAAAACTTATGACGTAAACAATTAATGATCATCAAACACACTAGATTTGAGCAATCCAACTTTTACAATCATACTCAATTTGATCGAATTGTTTTATCTTAAAAGGGATCTTTTATAATTTTACACGCGTTCAGATAAGTGTTTTTTAGGGCATGTTTTCACTTTTCTTTCAACTCCACTTGGTGATCGCTAAATTAATTAAAATTATTAAGCCACAAGCAAAACACTATTCATGTTCATTACGACAATTTCGCATTAACCTTTATTATTTGCGCTTAATCATCTATCTGGGGGGATGGGTTAGCATGCTAACCCTCTTAAGGGGTTGAAAAAATGACACCCCCTTAGTGTATTAAATACAACTATAGAATTTAATACACACATTAAATACACATTAGAAATTAAATGCACCATATTAATTATTATCTTTTTTTTCAAATTAAAACCTACACTAAATATATTCTCTCTCCTTATATCTGATTTTTCCTTTTTTCAGCAGCCTCTGACCACCAGACTTCCTCCGACCGCCACACTTCTCCCGTGAAAATCTCATCGGCAAACTCCCTCCGAACACCTGCAAAAAATATACCACTGCACTGATATGTTGTACCACTACACTGGTAGCTATACCACTGCACTGGTAGCGATATCAGTGCACTGGTAGCAATGTCATATATGAGTATCAGTGCAGTGGTACAAATACCAGTACAGTGGTACAACATATCAGTGTTGTGGTATATTTTCGCAGGTGACCGGAGAGAGTCAATCGGCGGATTTTACCGGCGAAATGTGGTGGTCGGAGGAAACTTGGTGGTTGGAGGCTGCTCGAAAATGAAGAATAGAGATAGGAGAGAGAAAGATCAAAGATGAGAGAGAGAATTGTATTTTTGTATATGTTTAGATTTTAAAAAAAAATGAGTAATTAATGTGGTGTATTTAATGCTTACTTTGTATTTAATAACAGAACATTTATTATGGTTACTTTCATTAATACTAGTCAATAATTAATGAAAAACTGACCAATTAATAAGAGGGTGTCATTTTTCCAACCCTTAAGGGGTTAGCATGCTAACCCATCCCTCTATCTGGGCTTTGCCTTGGACGACCAAGTGAGGCTCATTCCATTACCCTCAATAAACACTTGAGTAATCTGCTTTGGGTTTCCCAAGTCAATGCGCTGGGTTAAGGAAAGCTAGACTATTTTACGGCTCAAGATAGGGGTTTCCCAAGTCAATGCGCTGGGTTAAGGAAAGCTAGACTATTTTACGGCTCAAGATAGGGTGCATAACCCATGGTTATGCAACCATCAATAACCAAATCTGGACCCTTCATTTAGAAAATCCAGATCTAAGGATGGAGAATTAAAAGTCATTTTTATTTTCATTAGCTTTCTTAATTGACTCATATCTTTTTCGTTTTAACTCGGATTTTAATTTTTTTTGCACAGATGGAACGAGTTCATCGTGCTCTACAAAATGAGATCAATTTTCAATATTTTTTTAGGGAAAAAAAATTTTGGCCTCTCGGTACCAACTGCATACCATATGGTATCTTCTTCGTTTTTCATTCGTTTTTGAAAACGTTTGCACAGCAGGGACGAGTTCATCATGATCTATTGGATCTACAAATTTCTGGGTGAACAAATTACAAGACCATAAAATACCACACAATACCATACAATACCACCCTGGTACGGGGTGGTATTTTATGGTATTTTATGGTATACAATGTTAAAAGTCGTAAATGACAATTAATATACTTCTACTATCATGTATTCAATCATCCTACAGTCTTGGTTTATTCATACCACCATGGTATGCTTTTCAAACCATAGGTATGCTCTTATTTCAATACCAGTCAATACCATATGGTATAGACTGGTAAAAAATGGCTCAATTTTTTTTTTTGTTCGAAAAATATATCAAAGTGGATATCATTTTGAAGAGCACAATTAATCTGATCTAACTGTGCAAAAAAAAATTCGACTTAAAACGAGTGAGAAATCGTCCGTCAAAGATTAAGGAGGGGAAAATTAAAGGCTTTCCAGAAGAGAGAGGATGCTGATATCATGCTTATGTGAGAGGGTTACTCATAGTTACTCACCATAAAAGTTACTGACCTGATCCATTCCCCTATTTTACCATTAAACCACGTGTTATGGAAGATATATGTAAAATTGTTTTAATAAAAGTCATGTAAATTACGCATACATTATGTAAAGTTTATGTAGGGATAAGTATTTCTTATGTAGCAAATAAACAAACGTATTATAATAGTTTTTCGTAATGGTCAGGACACTATGTAAAAGTTCTGGGCGGATAGTTATTTCTTATGTATCAGTTAAGCAAACATATTATGTATGTCTACCGTAATATAAGTTTGGATCAAATTTCAATTGTTATTAACGAAACTATTGGCATTCTCGTCAACTTACACCAAAATTTATGTAAGATCATTTATCTTTTACATAACAGTTTAATCAAATGTGATACTTCTTCGTAACTTAATTCCTTTATAATAACTAAAATATTATCACCCATTTTCATTATTCAAAGATTTTATAAGGTCAAATAAGTTTTATATAACCGTTCAATGAAACATTACGCCTTTCGTAACTTGATTTTATTATTAAATCACACTTTATAGAAGATTTATGTAATATCGTTCTATAATAGTTACTTGGATTACAAATACATTGTGTAAAGATTTTGGAGGAATAATTATTTTTATATATCAAATAGAAAAACTTATGACATAACTATCTCATAATGATTAAGGCATTGCATAATGCTTATTGAGGGATACTGAATTAAACAAATAAGATGCATTTTATAACTTAATTTTGTTATTATTAACTAAAATATTTATAATCTCATCAATTTGTATTATGTAAAACTTCTATAAGATGAGTTAACTTGTACATAACAGTTTAATCAAATGTCATACTTTTCGTAACTTGATTTTATTATTACACCACACATGGAATTAAATTAATGTAACACCGCTCTATAATAGTTACGTAAATTACAAATAAAATTCTTAAAACTTATGGATGGATATTTATTTTTTATGTATCAATGTTAAACAAACATATTACGTAACTCTTCCATAATATGGAAAAAAACGAGGACACTTAAAACTTATGAAGGGATAATTATTTCTTATGTATCAATATTAAACAAATATTTTATAGCCATTAAGACACTACATAAAGTTTATGAAAGTATCTTATTTCACTGAATTTTTCAATTATTTGAGTTTAGGTAAATAATTGAATGAATGGATGAAATTTTAAATATAATAATTTTCTTACCGCAACGAAAGTCTATATTTGGACCGATTGATTTTCACATGAGCAATAACATCATAACTATCACGCATTTATCGTTAAGGTGTTTGATTATTGATAAATAGTCTGAAATTTTTAAGTATCCTTTAGTGAGAATAATCACTCTTTGAAATATAATATATATTATAGATCCCAATAAATATGTCTTATATGTTAAGGTCACTAGTCATAAACCCGAATTAATTTGACAAGCTCTTAAGGTAAAATGAAAGTATAATAAAATAGAAAACTCTCCGAAAAGAACCGTAAAATTCATGTAACTTTGAAGTAGGAGAATAAAACTTTCTTTCTGTAGTTTAGTTTTCTCGTAAAAATCATGTAACTTTGAAGTTGAAAAGAACTGTAAAATTCAACAAAATAAAAGAACCATAAATAAAATTTTGATAAATAAGAACTCACAAATCACAATCTCTAGAACCAAATCAAAAATTCATTAGCTACCAATGTTCATCATTTGGACTAGGAGAATAAAACTTACACATCATGAAGTAATTGCAAGAAATAATATATTATTTTTTCTACTATTTATGTAAATTTCGAAGATTATTTGTGCAGTGACAAGTGGTGGGAGAGAGGAATGTGGAAAAGAAAAACAACTCGAGAGATGGAAAGTCGCTATTGAGGAATAGCTAACGATTGTAGAGAGGTACTGAAATTGGAAGGGGAGAAAGGATCTGGTTTGGAGGATTAGGATGAGAGGAGAGCTTTCAGTGATTTTAGGATTGTTTCATTTTGAAAAAAAAAAAAAAATCAATTTTTAGTCAGGCAAAATGGTTTGATTGCTCCAAAATTATCATTTTACACATAAGCGCATAAAAAACAGAGGAAAACACAATTTTAACTGCTTTTCTATGCTTCCACCACATCTACAACCGATTTTACCTAATTTTATACAATCAACCTCTTACATGAAAATTTAAAGCGTTTCGGTGACTTGAAATTATAAGCTTTTTATCTTAAAACGCATTTTTACCACATGACTTACATAGGCATCTCCATCATCGCAGGCAGCTATTGCAGCGAACTCTCAGCTGCGTGCAATCTTAATGTAGTCCGAAAGTTCAATTGTTTGTTGGATGGATTTCCAAAGATGAGACACCAAGCCCTCCATGGAGAGGTTTCAATAAGTGCTCCATGGGCAGTAACTTGAGCCAGGAGTTATGTTCTTGTATCTCAATTCTCAAGTCCTTCAGTAGTTACATAAATTCCTTATATAACGAAAAAGTATGTAATTTGTGTTATGTTAAAAAAATAGGTAGTAACAGCATTGTCTCATAAGAAAAGGTAGTCAACACAGAAACTGTACAAAAGGGAGCAGCCATAGCAGAGAATAAACTATCCCAGGCCTCCAAGCAGAAGCTGCTACTATTCATTTACGATTACATCATACTAGACAAATGGTGTGGTTCCAAATAAAATGGAAGAAGAATTGAGATCAAAGATCCTAACTTTTCATCTACAAAACATGGCTTCTAAGGACCTGATCAAGAGAGCCACCCTCGTCAAAGTTGAGAGAGTAGCTACAAATGTCATAGCTGAACTGAGAACTGCTGCTCTTCTGCCACCCTATTGTCTGCTTCCACTGCGCCCTCAACTTGTGAACCCATCGCTTAGGAACATAAGACTTATTTCTGCAGCTACCCGACGGAACCTTTCTCTTCCTATCAGCAATGGCTACCATGGCAGCGGATGATGCAGTTGAGCTCGGAATTCTCTTCCCCCCTCTCAAGAACTGGGTTGTTTTCATGCTTTTGGTGTTCAGGAGCTTCATGTCAAACTATGCTGCAAGATCTACACTGGACAGTTGGACCTCGGTATCAAATGAATGAAACACAAGAAGCAGGAGATATAGAAATAGGGAGTGTTCGTAAAATGAAACTAGATGTTGAGCTTTCTTAGTATCATATGCACTCACTCGTACCAATGACCATGAAATGTTGATCCTTAAATAGATGTCAAAATCCCTTTACTGGGAGTGGGAGGGAGAGGCCAAACAACATGTTATGCAAAAGAGGTCAGTGATGACTGGGAAATGGGAACTTTCCACTGGGGCCAAACATGCTATGCAAAAGAAAAATGTAATTAGAATCTGTCTATGACTATCCTGTAGTTTGATTTCCCTTGCGATTCACTTAAAGTTTGAAAGGCAAAACCAGGTTGGATTGGGTTTGCTCATACACATTCTTGACCAAAAAGAATGAAAGATCCCTTATCATAACGGAGCCACAATATCCAAATTTAGTGTCAGCAAAGTGCTTTCGTGAATGTTAAAATGCAAATGCTTACACGTATACCATGTGAAGTGTGTAGTAGGCAAGTGCTACCGACTAGCTCCCTTATCCTAATGGGACCACAATATCCAAATGTAATGAATCCAAATTTAGTGTCAGCAAAGTGCTTTCGTGAATGTTAAAGCAAATGCTAACATGTGTAGTATGTAAAGTGTGTAGTAGGAAATGCTACTGACTATGGTCCTGCGGCAAACGAAATTGGTGTATTTGAAAGATGGAAGTCATAGGGATAAGAGGGCCACCAGGAGAAAAAATACACATGCAGCCAGTAAGATAAAATGGAGCTCCCAGAAGCCAGAAACTAGCGATCAGTTCGCGCATTCTGTATGGCTCATGGGATTATCAGATCAAGAAGCAAATAGGAGAAAACGGTTGGAACTTAATACCAAACTTGCAAGACATGGCTGAAGAAGAATCCTCAGTAGACAAAGCAAACTGATGAATCTAATATTTTACAGTTGGCTCTGCTTTTAAATAAATTCTGCAGACAAAACAGAACCAAATTTACATCTCTTTATTATCTGCTATTTCTTTTACTTTTCCTTTTTGGTGTTGTGGGGAAGTTGGATTGGAAAATGAAAGGAGCACAATAACAAAGCAAGTTTAATGTCAGGAGATAAACCTCAAGACTCTAATGATTCCTAGTACAGTTCAGCAGAGAGGTTCTTACTGGGGGTCAGCTTTCCAGTGGAGTAGGTAATTTTGCACCATAGAGTACATGAGATCCACCAATATGACATATGTAGAGGCACCAGATTCTCTCCGCTAGTTCACCTACATAATAACAGCAAATATACAATTACTTTAATGATTATTTTCTAAAATAGAAATGACAACACTATCTTAAATATATTTGGGTTAATACCACCAAAAATACCGACACTTAGCAGCATTGTCATTTATATTACGAAACTTTAATAATTCAAGTAACATTCCAACCTATTGAGGGTAAGCGTCATTTATGTTACGCGAATCCATTGATGAAGTGGTGCTTACATGTCGTCCACGTATGTGCCATGTAAAAAATTATTATTTAAATAATATAAATACATTTTTTAATTAATAATTTATCATTGTCAAATATCAAGGGCCCGGATTCACCATCACCCAGGCCCTCCGAAGCCACCAAATAACTTTCTATTTGAATCTCTACACAATCTCAATACCTAAGGTTCGATCAAAGGAGAGGAGACAACTTAAACCTGAGCTCATCCCCATGTTGCAGGTCATAGGAGCGCAGCAAAAGCTCGACCATCATGACAAATACAGTAGGTTGCGATTATAAACTTGAACTAGAAATCCAAGTGTTCATCAATGAAGAAAGAAGGCAGAAAAGAGAACTTACATTCCTCATGCTCCTTCATTTCTTGAACACAATTGCAGCATCTACAAGAAATAATGCAAAAGAACAAGACGCTGAGTTTACATTAGGAATATGGCAGCTCAAAGGAAGGACAACAGTTGCAAATTCTCAAAACCTCATCGTTGACGACTTTCCCTTGAGTTGAATCTCTAACTCACTTAGATAATATCTGAAAACAGGTGACCTGTCACCAAATAATCATGTCAAATGACCAAGATCCTAGCACTTCTAGTCATTGGATTTGTCTAAATTAGGATACAGGAAAAGAGAACTTGATATACATGAATGCCATGCAGTGTGCACCTACGTGTGTAGGTTCACTGTAAAGTACTCATGAGTTTGCTGGAGCACATGCTTGCATGAGTGTACTGATCCCGCAAAGAGAAACCCACATGAATGAAAAGATAAAAGTTATATCAAGCAGTTGAAATAAATCATCAAATTACCAGAATGGAATTCCCACTGCTACAAGTACTGGCGACAACTGCCACAATGGTTGAAGATGATCACCAAGTAAATCCACCACATATTCAAGAATGTCAGTTTCCTGTTACACACTGTAGAAATCAATAAGCCAAGAATAATACAAAATGTTAAGCTATGTAATGCAGGCAGTGTACACACAGATAAACATATTTTGCAAATAGCACAAAGGGACAGATTCTGCAAGTTCCATCTTTAATGCATTCCAAAAGAGCATACGTATCCAACTCAGTTTTTAGTTTACATGAAGAGCAAATCTAGAGACATCTGTGTATGGGTATGTATGATAGTTGTGCACCTCTAGTTTAGTGAAAGCATAAATTACCTTAGAACTTGCTGCTTGAACTTTGAAATGGGTAGCTTGGCTTATCGTAGGAAGTAAGTTGCACAGCGCTTGATACATCTTCAAGACAGTTAATGTGTCACAAGAAAATGACATCAGATATTCGACTACCGGGCTCCATTTATTCGCTACGCACCCAAGTAATAGAAGTTCCTAGAGCAGAGAAAAATGGATAATTCAAATCGAAGCAATTGTATGTCCGAGAAAGCTTCAAGGAGTGATGTGGAAAAACATAACCGTGGAGAAGGCTGCAATTGATACAAAATATTATAGCCCTACTTTGTGCAATACATTGTCTCGGGTGCAATAGTGATTAGCAAACAATAGTCCCAGCTCACAAACAATAGTCCAAGCTTTTCTTGCAAGTAGGGGACTTGTTCTGTTTAGTAACTAATTTCGCCACACAAAACTAGTTCAAGTACTGATATGAATGTAGCAACCCCAAAATAGTTAAATTGTTGTTACAAAGTCTCCCGGATATAAATGGATAAATCCAATCTCTTTCAAAGAAACATTTATATCTCAATAAATGGATATGGTAATAAATAGTTGAAGTCAGCTTGTAGAATAACGAAGACCAACTGAAGTTGCAAGTTAGCATCCATGAAATAATCATCCTATCAGAGGAATGTAACTAAAGCAGTTCTTAAAATAAGATACCTACTATTGTTTCGTGTATCCAGTTATCCCTGCAATGTGTAGATGCAATCAACTGTTTTAAGACTTCTTCCCATTGATTCTTGGGGGGAGAAAGCATTATGCTGGCCCCTGCAACCATCCTAATAGTTCTTTTGTGCAAAAAGTACGAAAGATTCTTTGATCTCCAACCATTCCTCTTGTCATACCGGACCAAGAGCTCCATGTTCCTGCATAGATACTTTATCATGAATCCCTTGATTCCTGTGTTTAATTAATCTGTATCTTTAAGTAAGTTGCTTACATTCTAAGGAGAGGAAAAGTAAAGGTAAACTACTTTGTAACAAAAAGGATGGAAGTTGGAGCTTAAAGCCCCACTAAACAGTTCTGAATTAAATCCCTTCCATTCAGTAGGAGACCCCAAAAAAATGTCTGCCAAGTTTAAGTCTGCTGAACCATATGCTATTCATCAGCATTCAAGGAAGCATTCATTTGGGCACAAAACATGCAAAAGAAAACCTTTAGGTAGTGAAACAAACTTGCTTTTGCAATTCAAAATACTGTGCATACCCACTTGACATTTGGACTCTGCTATGCTTTTGTTTCTCGAGTAACAGACTGGTGGAATCAGTCTGACTACTAAGTCCACAAGCATCAGATAGAATAGCCAATCCTTCCTCAACTTTTGAGATAGATAACACAGTAGATTGCCTTGCAAGGCAAGCTTCAATAGTCAAGTTTGTCAAGTCTCCGCTGCTACATTCTCTGATCTTTGTGGTTGGAGTGGTCAAAATCTGGGCGCTTGAGGTGCCAAGAGCATTCTGAAGCTGTAATTTGTTCAGATATGCATTGAGACGGTCATGCTCCGCACCAGGAAGCTTTTCCAGATCCACCTCAACCATTGCTAATAGAAGAGCTCGGAGATGTAAGTTCCTCAACGGCAAGCATCCGCACAGATGTTCCAAGACGAAATCTTTAGCATGCAGAAGGGAAGCATAGGATATACTTGCAAGACCCTGATTTATTAACACGAGAGCCAAGTCCCACAACTCATCAAAATAGGCACACAGGGTGCCTTAAACAAAAAAAAACAAAAAAAAAAGAATTTGAGCTACCTCAGGGAAAGATATATCAGATTTCAGGTGACAGAGAGCTGCTTTAAGTTCCTTCACAGAATCTTGGTAATCGTCAGTGCTGCTCATATCAGTAAGCACCTAAATACGAGTGCAATGCATAAGAAACTCTTGCAGTAAATAAGTCTTATATGTCAATGTGGTCCTGGTCATATAACACTAACAAGAAGGCATATAACCAAAGTGGAAACATTTACAATTGTGTAGTAATTATCATTCTAAAGAAACTCCCAAATGCGAAAGATTACAAGAGGAAGAGATCCTTTTTCCTCCAAGGGAGCAGAACCCTGTATGAGAAACTCAAAAACAAGTTTCTGCAGAAGCTACCGAAGAAATCAACCTTTGAACACAACTAAATACTGCCAACAAAATACAGCAACAGTGCAGCCTTTGAATGCTCGCTATCAGCCCATAACTCCACATCAATTCCATCCATTTTTGCATTTCATCCTTCAGTGCATGTGTAATTCCAACAATCATCGAAACCATAATACATCTTCCACACTTACACCAAAATGTTTAGTCCATGAACCTTTCCCTTGGCCATTTGGTAAAAAACTTTACTTCAAGTCCTATAAATGACTGCAATTTCATCTTCTTGTTGTTCCCAACTTAGTTTTAGATGAGGTCATGATACAACTAAATTAATAACTCTGACCCAACGGTTAAAGCTCTACTCGCGTCAGAGAGATAGCAACTAAGAAGAAGAAAAGGCAATGGAATTGGGAGGGAACTTACATTCTGAAAGAAGGAAGCCCACTGAAATGCTTTTTTTATGTTGTGGGAATCCCAATCGGCTAAAAGCCCAGTTGACAGATACCCAGATGCCAGAAGCAATATATCTACAAACCCTTTTATGAGCTTGACCATCTCCTCCAAAGATATTCCTGGGTAGTTCCAACCCATCTTCTACTTGTTCAGTTATTCCTCACTCACCTGCGTCAAACAAAGCGCACCCTCTTTTAAATCCTAACACGCCATCTAACAAGAATGAGATTTTGTCAGGAATTTGATCAGAAATTGAGGAATACAAATGCGCGGGATGCATCCGTTTGGGCCCTTTCCCTCCCGCCCTTTGGTGTCTAGCCTCTTTACAAAATGACCACTTAACTATTTATTTGTTTCAAAATGGTAACACAACTTTGAACTTGTAGCACAACGGTATGACCAGCCAATGGTGGTGAAAATTCTACACACACAAAAAAAAAAGCAGGATAACCTGTGCATAAGCAATTACCCGTTAATGTTTTCCAGAGGCTCGAAAATTGGATCTCCGTGTGAATATGAACGAGAACATCTACAGCTGAGATCACAGTTACTGGACTAGAAATAGATAGCAATTCTGAAGCACCTGGCTTCTCTAGCACTTGCTATGGTTACTTAATCACTCCCAACGGTAACAGACACAATGAGCTATTTGGTTTCGACTTCCGTAAAAAGAATATGCAAGTCTCTGGGATATCTCTAATAAGTCTGTTTTTTTCTCTCTTTTGTGTAGAATCTCTAATATGTCTTCGGGATTAATTGACAAAAAATATGCTTTCATATGTTTATTAATCCTTACATGAGGTGGATAATGGTAGTACCATATCGAACCCCATTGACCACTGCACTTCTCTGTAAAGTTTATGTATTTACATGGCTAATGGTCCATCCCAACCTTTGGAATTTACCTTCACTCACTGAAACTAATAAGTATGAACTCCCCCAGGATGGATCAAGCGTGAACCCATTCACTCCACTTCCTATCATCAGCACTAAAAGCAATACAATAAAGCAGTCACAAATAACATTTGAAACTTTTGTAGCAGCTTTTGAATAAATAAATAAAACCCCTTCCTCCAGAAATAAACTCTTTCGTTCCACCAATATTTGCTTGACATTACATGCAACCAATTTTGACAAATCTTGATACTGGTATCACTACATAGAGAAGGAAAGAATTATAACTTACCACTGCGGTGTACTCTTGCTAGCTGGAGAAGTTTGCAACAAAATGCAAGCTTAATTTCAGGCCGGCTGAAACGAAGTGAACTGAAAGAAGAGGGGGATATAGACAGAATCAGAACTGAGACTCGCGGTGAGAAGACTACTAATCAATTGTTAGGATTCAGAAGGGAAAAGAGATAAATTATAGCGCAATGGAGTAGGTATAACAAGAAGCAAAGCAGAGGTAAGGAAACTTACCAAAGAGCGAGAAGTTCAGCCGATCGTATTGCCAGTGACGGGATAGTAGGAGCTTCGGAAGGAGGAGGGGCGGAGGGAAGAGAGTGCGAGACGGAGGATAGGTGCGGCGAAAACTGGTGAGAACTGGCGTCGAGGTGGCTGACGTAAACTGACTAGCGGTGACTAGGATAGCGACGCGCGGAAGACAGGCGGCGAAGGGTGAGGACTGAGGCGAGGAGGAGATGGTGAGAGGGAAACCATGGAAATCCAACTTCGGAGAGAAGACAGTGGGACGAAGACGAACTTTTTGAATTTGGGGATTTTACATTTTTACCTCATCTTCCCTTCGTTTCTACTTTCTAGCTTCTACCATGGCTGTCATAGGGCACAAATGAGCCAAGCCGCTCGCGAGCAACTCGGCGTTCGAATCGGAAAATACTCGTTCGACATTCGACTCGTTATTTAACAAGTCGGCTCGCGAGCCAACTCCTTGGTTAACGAGCCAAGTCTGAGCTAGACCTTGCTCAACTTGATAAGCTCGCGAACTAGATTGATTCGGTGGCTTGTCGAGCTAAGCTCGCGAGCTGCCTTGTTTTTTTTTTTTTTTTTTTGACAAAAGATATATATTAATGAATCAAAAAGATAGTTACATCCTGGAATTCAGCCAGGCCAAAAAATCAAAATCACGACAAGCAGCCGGGTACAACGAAAGGGCCTTTCTAGCCACCAAATGGGCTACCCTATTACTACGCCGACCTACAAATCGAATACTCAACCCAGGATGGAGGACAAATAACTGCACTACTTCACTAAGAACAGCCCCCACCTTACTATCCTCTGCTTCACTAACCCAGGATGGCGAGCTGCCTTGTTTTGAGCTTGGGGAAGGATGAATTACTCTTTTAAACATGAACATTGTCTTCTAATACAGATGTGTATGAAATTTAGATGTTATTTATAGTTTCTAGTGTTTTTTCTATCATTTAAATTCTTATGTTTATACATTTTTCCAGCAAAAATGATTTTAAATCGAGTTCATCTTGAGCCGAGCTTGAACTCAGCTTGACAAGCTATGTTAAGGAGAATTTATCGAGCTCTACCGAGTCGAGCTCGAGCTAGATTATTTTTATTCAAGCCGAGCTCGAGCTCGAGCTGGATTATCAAAATTCGAGTTCGAATCGAGCTCGAGCTGGAAAATTAATAAACAAGCCGAGCTCAAGCTAAGTAAAAACTCGACTCGGCTCGTTTGCAGCCCCTGTCAATTAGGGATGGCAACAAAACCCGAACCCACGGGTACCCACCCGACCCAATTCGGTCAACGCGGGTAAAACCCGTGTTGACGGGTTTTGGGCCGGGTTCGGGTTTAAAACCGCTATACTATTCACCGGGTCAGGTTGGGTTTGGGTTTAGGTAAACCCGCCCCATGTGTACCCGCTCACACACATATAATTACTTTCCCGATATATTTAATATTCTAAATAATATATCTTCTTTAAACAACTAATATTCTTTATGTTTGTAAAGACATGTATAATTTGTTCTTTCTAATTGTTTAAAATGAAGTTGATATTATGAAGTGGAGAGTGAAGAAACTTAGTTGACGAGGAAGAAGCTTTCAATTAATCTTATTGTTTATAGATGTTTATCTTTAATTTTGAACAATTTGTATTGATCATTTGCAATTTGCTTGTATCTGTATGCTATAGATTGGTGTTTTTTGTATGATTAATTTGTATGAGAAAATTGATGTTAACCTTTTATTGTGAAAGAAACTTGTTATTGTAAATTTTTTACCACAAAAACCCACGGGTACCCATGAACCCGTGGATACCCAGCAGGTTGGGTTGGGTTGGGTTTGAGTTTTTCAAACCCAACGGGGTTTTATCTCGGGTTTTTTTGGTGGATAAAGCCATGGGTTTGGATTTGGGTTTGACAAAACCCGCCCCAACCCGACCCATTGTCATCCCTACTATCAATAGTGAAATTTGTTGGTCGGTACAACTAGTTTCAACTAGTATTGAATCCATCATAAAAATCAATTAGAATCTACAAAAATATATAAAGGCAAAATATGGGTTAAATTTCTTCTATTTCAAATTTCGTGTCCTGAGAATGATTCTATAACATTGGAGTTCGAACATTGGTCACTTAAATGAAGAAAAAACATTATAACCAACTAGGCTATATCTTATTTATTGTTATTTCTTTGATTGAACTCTAGGAATAAATTTGGTGACGACGCTGTTATATTTATATTTTACCTTAATTAATTTATAATTTATTTTAAGTTATTTATATTTTATAGAAAGAGATTAGTTCTGAAATCGAAACTCAAGTAATATTGATTCAAATATTAATATTAAATTGTATGTGCTGTTTAGTTTAGACAAAATACAAAAATGTAACCAAAACATGAACCTTTGTGACGAGTATAATCATTTTTTTTGTGACAAATCTACACATAATATAATGATAAAATTGGAAAATGAGAGTCTCATTTTTAAATTTCGTGGCCTGAGAGCAATTCTAGGAAACACTTTTTCGTCATAGTGCCCAATTTATCTTTATATTATGTGTATATTTGTGACAAAAAATTACTATATTTGTCACAAATATCCATATTTTGATTACACATATGTATTTTGTCTAAACTGAACCAGACATACAATTTATTATTTAATGTTTGAATCAATGTTACATGAGTTTCGATTTGACAATTAATCACTTTCGATCAGATATAATAATTTAAGGTAAAATACCTTTCCTACTTGGTTGAAGAAGCTCTTTCTATAAGCTATATTCAATCTTTTAAGATTTTCTATTTTAAATTTCGTGAAGCGAGAGTGAAAGTAGAAAGAGTATTTTTGTCATCACAATTATTATCTACTTCATATGAAAAAGTATCAATATTTTATCTTCTTAAATTGTAAACATGCACTAAGCGAAGATTTGTGATGTTTGAAATATTTTATGTATGATATAGAGGTATAATTATTTGTGACATCAGTTGTAGTTTATTCAAATGTAGTATTTCATTAGGTAGTCAAAATCGAATACTTGGTGCATTTATGATTGTTTTTATCTTGGCATTGTGAATAGGTATAAACTTAATTATTATAATGCATATAACTATACCTAGGCACATGGTCGAGCTAGCACGGCACAGTTAGAGCATACTATGAAGACAATGTATATAGATAGGCCATGTACGAGTATAGGTGTCAATCGGGCGGGTTCGGGTCGGGTTCAGTCGGGTTGCGGGTTAATCGGGTTGCGGGTCAAGCGGGTTCGGGTTGCGGGTTGATCGGGTTGCGAGTCGATCGGGTTACGGATTGATCGGGTTGCGGATCAATCGGGTTCGGGTTGATCGGATTGCGGGTTACAACAGGTCGGGTTGCGGGTTGTTTGGTCCAAACCATCGAGTTTTTTTAATAATTAGTTACTACACTAATTTAAAACAAACTCATCGATCACCATATTGCAATGAAAAAAACATGAAGATACATTATTAAACAAATGAGTGACTAGATTTTGCTTCAATATATCATAAACAAGTTTGATGTTGCAAAGGATTCATTAAGGTTACAAAACCAACATAAGAAATTAAAAAGCTGACAACTTGCTTGATCATAAACCAATGAAACAATCTCTTGAGTCTTGGTAGTTGAGACCATTACATGATGTTTAAGCAAATACAATAGAATGAAATACAGAAAAGTACATAAGGCTCCATTAATCTTGAAAATTTCTCTTAATGCACATCTTAAAATTTTATTTGTTACAAATGTAAATGGTCACGAATTAATCATTTTTCTACTCATTGCATTTATAACCTGAATACAATCAAGAGTCATTTCAAATGCCATTAATCCATTAAAACTAAAACTACAATTGAGGAGTTTAATTCGTATAACATCATAACAAAATAAATGCTATACAAATCTAATTGATCATATCACATGATCTAACCATACAAAGCTATAAATAAAAGCTATACAAATCTAATTGATTATATAACATGATCTAACCATACAAAAGATATTAGAAGTTTTAGATTACAGGGCTTCTTATAAAAAAAAAGTTCTGGATTAAACTTATACAAAATATGTTGAGTAGTTGCTATCCTTCCTCCCTCGAAACAAGATTCACAGTCCACCAACTACTTGTTCTGCAACTTCAGCTTCATCTCTACAGTGCCTGTAATATATATACCTTGTCAAAGTGGGTGGTTCATTTTGCCAGCATCTGCACAAAGTGAAGATACGTAAGAAAGTCAGGGAATTCTTTGAAATTCATCAATAACATGTGTCAAATTGTTGAGCATTGCAAACAATTATTTTACCTCTTCAATAGGTGGACGAACTCAAGAGTTAGCACTTTCTGGGTTCTTGTACAGCTCCAGTCAAATACGCTGCATCTAGGAGCAGGTATACCTCTGTGTAAATGTAACAGATAAAAAAAATCAAAAGAAAAGGACTAGCATCAATAGATGATTATCTAACCAAGTTCAATTAGAAGAAGTAATATCTAATTCCGTCAAAACTGAAAACCCCTGATTTGTTCGATTTCAAACCCTAAAAACACCTTAAATCCAATTAGAAAACTGAAATACATTATACCTATTCAACTGGGTAGAGGCTGTCTTCAGAGTTTCCTCAGGCTCAATGGCTGGGCACACAGAGGTTTAAAGCAGAGGGCGGAGGGTCTTGTCTCGGTCTCGACGGCTGACGGACAAAGATCCGAAGCAGAGAGTGGTGGCGGCCTTTTGTCGGAAGCAGAGACCAGCAGGGCGGCAGATGTTGGGGAGAAAGGATGGGAAAGGGTTAGGTTCTTCTCGTCGGAAGCAGAGACGAGCAAGACGGTGGGTTTCTTGGCGGGGCCAAGGGCTCGAACGGAGAGGAGTTCGCCGTCTGGAGGTGGGTTTCGTTGTTTTGGGAAAATGAGGTTGGATTTCGACGGATGGGAGCAAAGACCGGGGGCTAGATGTTAGGGTTTAGGTTAATTAAGGGTGAAGAGGGTGGATCTTGCACTTGCGGCAGGCCCAAAATTTTGAGAACGGAAAAGGGGCGGCAAAAATTATTGGAGGCAAATGTTGGAGCCAATTCTACAAAAAGAAGTGAAAATTTTGAAGCCCTCTAGAGCCAAAGTGAATTCGAAACAAAGTGAATTCTCCCTCCAAGAATTTTAATAAATTGTTGTTAAAGAAATTGCTAATTGCTAAATTGTTATTATATTTAAGCAATATATATGACCTAGAAATAAAATATTTAAGCAATAGATTTAGCAACCAAAA